GGGGGGGGGTGATAATTCTGAAGCGCTTCCTGTGAATGGTCTGTCCTATACTGTAACTAGTTAAAAAATGTGTATGAATGGACTACATGTGATGTTACCATGCTTGTACGCCATTGAGAACTACCAGTGCATCTGGTGCAGTGGCAGATGAGACTTGTGGTCTCTCATTCACAGATCCTGGCTATAAAAGTAAACTTAGAGGGTTATTCACAAAAGGGTGAAGAGTTTGGAGAAGGCAGGAGAAGTGAACAATCTAGGACAACATAGCTGAACTGGAAAGTAAGCTGAATTGGAGAATTTTTACACATCACCTATTTTGGCCTAGATTGTTCCCTTCTCCAAACCCTTCACCCTTTTGTGAATAACCTTGTTAGTTTTTAATGTGCTTTGCAGTAAGTCAGCCTGTTCTTTTTAAATGGGCTGTCAGTGTACACAAACAAGCCTTTAATTCACATAGACCTTTTCTTAAAATTTTCCTGGGAACCACAACACAAAGATAGTTTATATCCGTGTTTTGTGGTGCACTAAAATGCAGGTCCGGTAGCAATGACTTTTGAAATTAATGGCATCACATACACTGTGGTATAACAAATGTTTTACTGCACCTTACCACAATGCAAAGATACAAAGCTGGTCTATAACTCACATTTACATTCAGAAAACTGTTCTGTGTAGCAGACTTGTGGGGCAAACCCTAAGGCAGCTGTGCAGTAGACTAACACTCATGCTGGAAAACCGTTACATTTGGATGCTAGCATGTACAAGGCCATAGATAAGGAAGAGAAAATAATAGTCACCATAAGTTGCTGATGTATTTTACACTGGCTACAAACATAAAAAGATGGTTTTAGCAGGAAAGCATTTCTGCTCACCTACAAAACTAAACAGTGCTTCCCGAAAAAGCTTGGGTGATCACCATAATTTTGCAAAGTTCATTGGCTTCTTCTAGCACTTCGGTAACTGCAGTGGGATGGCTGGCAACCTGTTGCAGGGAGATATCCACTGTCCATCAAGGTAGAGATACTAGCTCTGCATACAAAAGCTGCTGCGTTGCTGACCTCACTTCTACAGGCAAGCCCTTTGCCACCTGCCAAGGAATGAAACAGAGCCAATTTTTTTTTTCATTTACCAGCTACACTGTAATGCATTTACAGCCCGCACTACAATGATTAATGTTTGTTTTAACTTAGGCACTAATGTTCTCTTTGCTTAGACATAAGCTATTACATCAAGCTTGTGGAGACACTGTCACCCATTTCCTAATACATTAAAGGTTTTTCTCATCTAAAGCATTCTTTATAACTTGCACAGCAGCTGGTGTAAGGGGTGACTATATACTCAGCCCTGTGGAATTATGGCGCTTTGGTTCTTTTTAACAAGCGTATATGAATCACAACCAGGAGTGTGTAAAATTTGGTCTGGACATTTTCAGCAGGGGAAAAAACGTGACCATAAAATCCACTGGAAAGGCAATGCCACGGAGTCTTGTAAAACACACCTTACAGGGAAAAAAAAGTGACTCATCAGCTACAGTATGTTACACTGGCCGTAATGTGACGACTGCTGCGATGTGTGAGGGAAAGTTCAATCATGTCACTATAAAGTTCTGTGACAAGCCATGGAGAGACTAAAGAGGAAAATAATATAGGATAGGACACAGAACAACACGTAAGAGGAGCAGATAGGCAGTACCTCATCTGGGCCGCATTGGTATGGGAGATCCTTGTGCACGCTCTTCTGGTACTTGGCATAGAGAGCTGCCGAAGATTCGAAGGATGACACGAATTCTGGGTCCTCCATGGAGACCGGAACTAATTTGACCTTCAGGGGCAAGGGAAAGTCAAGCAGTCAAGGGATAAGCTACAGAACTAACATAATGCACGAACATAAAAAAGGATGTGCAGTAATGGGCACTGCAGGTTTGTAGTATACGGTCACCTGCTATGGAAGGGAAAAGAAAAAAAAAACCATATCAATAATCCCAATATTCATCGAAATGTCACATGTTCCAAACAAGTGCTTTGTCAGATGATCCATGCCTAACAGAAAAGAAAAAGAGGGTAAAAATTATCTGCCAGGGGTGGGTGAAGGAATGAGGGATGGTGAAGCTAGTCAGTTTAGTCTAGACGCTAGCAGGTAATTTTAAATAGCCAAGGAATGTGAAATAAATGTTTTAGGTACAATGACTGTTTGACTCCCGGAACTTACCCAGACCTACACTACACAATGAAACCCATAGTGTTTCAAGCTACTTTATAAACAGACACGTCAGAATTTTAGAACTGTAAGAAGTCCAACCCTCTCCTATGCAGTTATATGGAAGGTATGTGGCCTGTAGTATGACACGAGGAGAAAAAAATGTGAATAGGGCAACTGCTTCTTTTTAACGGTGAACATGGGAAGGATAGAACTCCCTGTAAACATACATATCAGACTAGAGGTGCACCAAAATGGAAATTTTAAAACCGAAATAAAAAAAAATGTCAGGCCGAAACCGAAAATGTTTTTTATTTTTTTAAAATATTTTTTCTAAACTTTTTAATTTTTTTATATTTATGAATTCATTTTTTATTAAATATTTTTAACTTTACTTTTAGGGGCTTTGGGGAAATAATAGGGGTCTAAACAGACCCTTGATATTTCCCTTTTAAAATAGACAGAGTCCTCAATCTCTTTTTCTGTGTCCCCTGTTATCAATGAACAGGAAAGAGTGTTCCTGTTCATTGATAACATGAGAACATTGTTTGTTTACTATAACTACAACTATGAATGAACAGGAGGTGATGTAGATCACTCCCATTCATTCATAATTGAGGATATAGTTAACATACCATGTCCTCAATTATGCACAAACACTCAGCTATCACTGATCGCTGAGTGTTTGCTCTCACTCTCCTCTCTGACACGCTGTCACAGAAGGCTGATCGAGCGGTGTAGGGAGGAAAGCCCAGCCTCCTGTGACAGCGCTGTCTCCGCCCCCACACCGCTCTGCCGGACTGTGATAGGTGGCAGAGCGGTGTTGGAGGAGATGCCGGCCGCTCACAGCGCTCTCCACCGCAGCGCTCGGCCGGCTGTCACTTTCTCTTCTCCCCGCTGGGACATAGCGCAACACCCAGCGGGGAGGAAAGAAATCAGGGGTGTGCCGATGTATCGGCAGGAAGATGGCACTTTCGGCATTATGCCATTAGTGCCATTTTCGGCCGATATGCATCCCTATATCAGACTATGCTAATTTTTTTTCTCAATAGTGATTCTGCACAGAAGTTTATAAAACAGTTGCCTGTATCTAAGGGCAAGCTCATAGGTAAAACATTTTGGGAAACACTCATGAGATAACAACAACAACTAGCATTTATGTGCAATGCATTTTTGTCAGGTTGTTGTTTCATTTCCTGCGACAGGCCCAAAAGTTTATGGTTTACCATTACCTCTTCCAAACACCGCTTTCAAAATTAAAAACAGGACAGGTAAACGACTCTTCCTTTTAACACTGCACTCTGACCAGATATGTGATTTTATAAACACTCCCCATTAGGGTCAATACACAAACTAATATCACATAAGAAGTATTTAATTACTGCTAACCTTAACAATTCTTTTTTTTTTTCAATTCTCTAAAGGCTTTGTTACACAGATCTGCTGAAGTTACTGTCTGCAATGACACCACTGTGCACTTCACAGTAAATTTGTTGTAGACTGCTCCACACTGGGAAAAAGACAATGTTACACTGTTGTACGGAGAGAAGGAAGGTGCATGACCGCAATAAAGGTAATTTAAAAGAGAACTATGGGTTAAGTGTTTTCCCCCATAGTTCTCTTTAGGGTCACAGGAGGACATATACTAGAGTCCTTCCATGACCCAAAGCTCAGTACATCGCGAGCTACAGCTCGGGGTATACCGAGACTGCCACAGCCGGGACAGATCCCGACAGTGCTGTCAAGATCCACCCAGCTGCGTGAATGACAGCTGGCTCTGCCTATCTAGAGGCAAAGCCAGCTGTATCCGCCCCCTCCCCTTCCGTTCCTCCAATCAGATCTGGAGGATCGGAAAGGGGAGGGGGGTAATCACACGTCGGCTTGAACTATGAGGTTGAGTGATTTCACCTCATTACTCACCTCATTAGTTCTCCTTTAAGTGTTCTGATCACCACCATGGGTAATGTTGGAATGGTGCAATATTAAGGACCATTCCTATTTCTTTGAAGAACACGTACAACCATGAATCTGTGACATCAATTTCCCAACAATTTTTTTAACTGGTCTCCAATTCCCACAATGACTGATTATTTCAACTGTTGCTTGAACTGGTCACATGGCACTGAGTATGGAGAGAATTGTTGTCAGAGACTAAAAATGGGAACTTCGAAAACCTTTACATGGATATTTCTTAGCTGGTAGCTTGGAACACTAAGTAAGGCACACATGTTAGATCTACTTAGTATTGCAAGTTCTTCCCTCTGATATGTATGAGCTACGCTGATTTTCCAGACAAGCCCAAGGAAAACAAGGACAAGGTATTTCTAATAGTTGCCTTTGCTACATAAATAAACTTTCCTACCAAATCATGTCACAAAACAAATTGAATAAGAATGCCATACTCTATAGATACGACACAGTTCTTCAGCTAGTTGGTTTATCAAGTTTAAAACAGACTTGTAGTCTACCTTATTTAAAGTGAGTTAATGCATCTGCTAAGCATGTAGACATACAGATACCTCAAAATCGTTCCCATCAGTTGTTCCAAACATGTTTCTTCTTTCCCCAAAATGCACAGCCTAAGTTAAGTAAATGGTACTATTGCAGAAATGTGGGTTTTCTTCAAGAAGACAGCAGCTAATCCCTTATCTGCATACCTAACTATTTCCCCTGGCCGCTGACTTGTATGCAGGCCAGTTCCCCGTCACAGGAAGGGCAGAGGTGTCCATGACATGGCAGGCTGTGATTGAATGCCTGGCTTCACCTTCTCTGTGCTATGTGAGAGACAAGATGGCGGCACTCCATGGAGACATAACTGGGTCTATAGGATAGACTAAAACAGAGTTTTTCTTCACCGATCGTGCACCAGTAAAATGGTTATGAGCTATACAGAACATATTTGCAAGAAGTTGGAGTCTGGTGGCCAAATCATTCACTGGCTTCTGAAGTCTTGCAGTTAGAGCTTAATGCCACAGTTCAGGTTCTATCCCTGCCCACCTGTCAGGGACCCAGGGGGGCCGTTCCTCACCAGGCTCGCCGGCATCGGGCACGGGCTCCTCCTCCTGGCAGGGTATCTGGCGCTGGGATTGCTGGTGCGCATGCGCGTGACGAGTGCGCGGTACGCAAGCTGTGTGTGCCCGGTAGCCCGCGCGTAGTGCGCCTGCGCCACCCCACGTTCCAGGTGCTACTCAGGCTGGGGGAGGATTCCAGCATTCACCAACTGCCCTCGGTCTTGTGATTGGTCCTGGGTTCCCTGTGTATATAAAGCTGGTCAGAGCCTTGACTCATTGCTGAGTTATTCTACCTCATGGTGAACACCCAGCCCCCTCTTGTGAACCTATCTGTTGATCTGACTTCCCGGCTACCGACCCTTTTGCCTGACCCTTCCCCTACGAATCTTGCTGCCTGCCACGACCTGGACTCGATTACTCTATTGGATTACCCTTTTGATACTGCGATCTTGGACTTGTTTTCGTCCCTGCCAAGGGGTTCCACTCCCGGCCCAGTTATCCGGCCTGACACCACCTTACACGTTTTGGCTGCTCTTATTCTCCTGTTGTTTTCCTAATAATATAAAATAAATTAAACAATCTAAAATGAAAAGCTAGCAGTTAAGTAAACCTGGAAGCCCAAGTGCTGCCATGCAGTCCACCATGGAGCAGAGATATAAGAAATAGCTAGTCATCATCTAAAATTGCAAGAAACTTTTAAAAAGTGAAGTGACACTAATATAATCCATTAAAACTTAATTCTGGCCATACACCAGACACTTTTCTAGGATCTTAACCAGATTTTAGTGGCAAAAATAAGTGAACAGATGATGGAGAACCTAACACCAACAATTTATGTATTTACATTGCATTAATGTTGGTAGGTTGCCTTAACCTATTCAATTATTTGTTCATCCAAAGAAACCAGAAAGAATGTATCAATTGGGAAGATTTATAAGGTGAAAAGTAGGAATGAAAGTCGGACTGTTGCCCAGAGCAACCAAATTCAAGCTGTTTGCATTCTAGTGAATGTCAGACAATGAAAGCAAACTCTTGGTTTGGAGCTGAAGACAACAAAAAGGTTGAATCTGTAAAACTGGAACAGAAAAAGAATAAGAATGCTGACCATAGCAACCATATTTTACCTTCCAATTTTCTAACTTATGCATTAAACAAATACCTAAATGGCTGGTTATGGAAAACAGTCCTTTGTTTTCTCGGAGTTTCACTAATTAGTCCCAGACACTTCATGTGAGCTTTAATAAACTAGCTGCAACTTTGTCGAATTAAAACTTACCTAAATGGAAACCCCACCTCTTCCAACGCAAGGCAATATAACTAAACTCAATCAAAAGTGCACCAGAACTACAGAAAAACAAAGCATCCGTTATGCACTTTCATTAACCTAAAGTACCATCCTAGACACACAAAAGCCCAGCATCAGCATATTGTCAATAAAAAAGCCAGTGGAATCAAGCACACATTCTCTTGTTGCAGGTAAGCAGCTATTAATACGGCTGGGTCCATGCCCAGTGTAAAGAAACATAGAATGGCAAGGTCTACTTGAGCTGAACACCAAGATCCTGTTTAGATTTCTTGGCCTTTCAGTCCGAACATTGCTGATTCCTGCTGACA